CCTATATATATATATATATATATATATATATATATATATATATATATATATATATATATATATATATATATATATATATATATATATATATATATATATATATATATATATACATATACATATATACACACATATATATATATATGTATATATATATACATATATAAATATATGTGTATATATGTATATATATATATGTATATATATATATATATGTTAGTAATTACTTGTATAAACACTTCATATTTGTTGGTCCCAAACCAATAGACTAACGATCAGCTAAAATGGATTCATCGAATAGAAATAGAGAAGAAGGATTCCGAGAATGATCGAAAGATAAACGAACAAAGAAATCCTTACTTTCTATTAATATTGAGAAACGTACAGAGTGAAGTTTCTATTGTTGATTATGCGTTGATTATTCTATCCATGATTATTCGGACACCCGCACCATACGCGCATATATAAAGGTGCTGATGTAGGTTTCCGTAAAAGGCCTAAAGCCTGGAAATATGGGCCTAACATATTTGGTCCCATTCCTATTCTAGCTTATTTATTACATAAGGATAATACCATATAAGGCTATAATTAAAACAAAGTAGTAAATAGTAAACAAGACTTAGACAAACTTGAATCACAATACAAATAATCTTCAACAATCTCACATTGTTCTCACATTGTTGTTCTCCTTCAATTGATGAATTTTTTTGTTGAAGTGTCCATTTGTTAATTTTAGTGACCCTTGATGTAATTGAAGGCATTTTCATACAATTCCTCAAAAGTTCTTCACTAAGTAACATATTCTTTTTCCCACCGTGTTAGACAAACTTGCCAATTCAAACTGACACTGTACTCCTCCAAATAAAATTGGCTATAGAAATTCGCTAAAATTATTATAAAGTCTCATAACAATTGATCTACAAACCTATCACTTCCGCACGTGACTTGCATAATACTGGTGCTTAGAGAACCGAGAAGAATCAGAGAGGGAGCCACTAAAACACTTCAAGTAAAATAACTTGAAATCTAAATCCTCTACCTTTTCGCTTTCATCGTTCTCGCAGCTTCCATGTTCAGCAATTATTTTACTCTGTTGCTCATTCATTAATAATGATGAAGAAGAAGTTCATTTATCATCTTTAGTTTCAAAGCAATCATGCTCAAAGTCATTGTTAGAGAAATGGTCGGTAAATGAAGATAAGACAATATGACATAACAGCTACCACCCATACTTAGGGTGGCCAATTCTTCGGGTTATCCTAATAAATCGTGCCAATGTGTCATGCCTCACTATGGCATTGGAAAATACTTTTCATCTTCATTCTAATTTTATCAGGCGGTAATAAAAAGGACTTGGTCAATCTGTGGATCACGGACAAAAAAGCACAACATATATGTTAGTAATTAGCTATGTGAACACTTTGTCTGACATTTTTGTTTTCCTTCAATTGATAAAATGGTTTTGGTGAAATGTCCTTATGTAAACGTCAATATTTTATTTGTGTCTGGATCTTTCAAATGAAAAAAAGGGAAACATGTAGTTCTTCATGAGTATCAGTTGATCTACAAATATATCACTTTCGCACGAGGCTTGCACAGATTTTGTTCCATAGCATTCACCTAATCGATTTTGGTGGTTATCCTACTGGGTATGCAAACTGACCAATGAGCTTTAGTCTGTTAGCATCTACTATGGTTTATTCTTTCTCACCCTTCCACGCTCATTATTTGTGTATGAAATTTTCACATGTAAAGAAAAGGGAAACATATAGTTCTTCAAGACTCGTGAGTATCAGTTGATCTTCATACCTATCATTTCCGCACAGGACTTGCCCAGTACAAGTTCTTAGAGACCCGAGAAGAACTAGGGAGGGAGCCATGAAAACTCTTACATTAAAATACAAATATAAACGTGACCATCATAATCTCCTACGAGGACTGCTAAAAGGTTCCACATTTCAGTATCCCAACTTTTCACTCTCATCATCCTAACAACTTTCATATTCATCAATTATTTTACCGTGTTTCTCATTCATTAATAATAATGATGAAAAGGAAGTTCATTTATCATCTCAGTTTCAAAGCTATCTTGCTCAAGGTCATTGTCAGAGAAATAGTCAACAAGTGAAGATGAAGACAATATTACAGAAGTGTTATCGCCCTATTTGGGGTGGAATTCTTTGGGTTAGCCCCATAAGTGGTTTCATCTTCTTTTCAATTTTATCAAGAGCTAATAAAAGGACTTGGTAAAACTTGCGAATCCCAAGCATAAACACACAACTTATACGCTAGCAATTAATTACCTATATGAACACTCAATCTCACATTGTTGTTCCCCTTCAAATGATAAAATGTTTTTTTGTTAAATGTCTTTTTGTAAATGTCAATAGTTTGTTTTTGTTTGGAACTTTCACATGAAAAGAAAAGAGAAACATGTAGTTCTTCATGAGCATCGTTTGATCCGTAAACATATCATTTCCGCACGGGACTTGCACATATTTTATTCCCGGGCATTTGCCCAATTGACTTTGATACTTTTCCTACTAGGTTCACATAAGAACGATTTTTTTAGTTGTGAAACTAGTCAATTTATTTGCAAACCTACAGTGAGCACTAGCTATAGTCTGTTAGCATCTACTGCGGTTTATTCTTTCCCTCTATTTCACGCCAATATTTTATCAGTATATGAAACTTCATGAATATACAATGGAAACATGAAGTTTTTCACGAGTATCGATTGATTTCCAAACCTATCACTTTCGCAAGGGACTTGCACAATACAAGTTCTGAGAGAACTTAGAACTAGGGAGGGTTCCATAAAAAACTTCCAGTAAAATAAACTCCAAATGTGACTATCATAATCCCCAACGAGGTCCGTTAAAAGGGTTCCACAATTTTGAATCCCCAACTTTTTCACTCTCATCATCCTGACAGCTTTCATGTTTAGCAATTACTTTACTCCGTTTCTCATTGATTACTACTGATGAAGAAGAAGTTCATTTATCATTTTCAGTTTCAACACGATCTTGCTCAAGGTCATTGTTAGAGAAATAGTTAGCAAATGAAGATGAAGGCACTATTACACAACTGCCATTGCTCAAACTTGGGGTGAAATTCTTTGGATTAGCCCAATAAGTGGTGTCATGCCTCTTGATGGCATTCAAAAATATTTTTTCATCTTCTTTCCAAATTTTTAAGGTGGTAATTAATAAAAGGGCTTGGTCAAGCTTGCAGATTCCAGGCATAAAAACACAACATATATGTTGATAGTTACCTATATGAATAATTCGTCTGACATTTTTGTTCTCCTTCAATTGGTAAAATACTTTTGTTGAAACATCCTTTTGTAAACGTCAATATTTTATTTGTGTTTGAAGCTTTCACATGAAAAGAAAATGGAAACATGTAGTTCTTCACGAGTATCGTTTGATCTGTGAACCTGTCACTTTTCGCACTGGACTTGCATATATTTTTCTCCTCGACATTTACTCAAATGATTTTGGTGATTTTCCTACTGGGTTCACATAACTAGTGGCATAAGGACTTTTTTAATCACAGAACTAGTCGGTTTATCTACAAACCTATCTCTAAGTTGTAATTTGTTATCATCTACTATGGTTGAATCTTTCTCACCTTTCACGCCAATATTTTATGTGTGTATGAAACTTTCACATGATAAGAAAAGAAAAATGTGTAGTTCTTCATGAGTATTGGTTGATCTTCAAACCATCACTTCCCACGAGACTTGCACGGTACAAGTTCTGCGAGGAACGAGATGAACCAGGGAGGGAGTCATGATAACACATGGGTAAATTAAACTTCAAATGTGACCGGCCATCATAATCCCCAATGAGGCCCACTAAAGGGTACCATATTTATGAATCCCCAACCTTTTCACTCTCATATCCTGGCAGCTTCCAAGTTTAGCAAATAATTTACTAAATCGCTCATTTATTAATCATGATGAAGAAGAAGTTCATTTTTTCATCTTCAGTTTCATAGCATCACGCTCAAAGTCATTGTGAGTGAAATAGTCACCAAATCTTTATACAATATAGAGTAAAAAAAATGTTACAATTATTGGAGGGAAAATTCCCGCCCTATGAAGACACAACTATAAATTACTATCTGGCCGTAAAGAGTAAAGACAAGCTTTCAATAAATTTCTTTCCCTTTATACATTCAAGTTGGTAAATATAGGTACAAAAAATATGTGGGGTAAATCGATATCACATAAATTTTTACCATATTTTAATCTCTTAGTACGTACCACCTTCGTTCTCTTTTAAACGGAACATTGGACTTTTCACACTATTCACATGTTTTACATTGACTTTATTTTATTTATTAATGTATTATAAATTAAATGTTTTTTTAATTCCTCTCATTTTAAATTTTCAAAATCTAATCTTTTTAATTTTTTTACTAATAAAGAATGAAAGATATTAATGGTCAAATTTGTACGTTGAAAAACGTGAAAAAGTACACTGTTGCAATAAAAAAACGGAGGAAGTAGGGATTATAAATTACTCCCTCCGTCCCTAAAAATTGTTTCCGGTTTCTTTTTTGGGCCGTCCCAAGAAATTGTTCCACTTTCCCCTTTTGGAAAGTTTTTTTGTGGCTACAATTCATTTACCTTTTTCTTACTCAACCATAATAATACATTTCCACTTTATTCTCACTTTCTTAAACTCCGTTCCAAGTCAATGCGGGAACAATTTTCCGGGACGGAGGGAGTATAATATATTGAGAGGAGGGTGTAAAAAGGACAGGTAAATAGGTTGTACGGTAAAATTGTTATGGATGGTGAATAGTACTCCGTATATAATTATGGAATACGGAGTAAAAAGCAGTCCTTTCCTCATGCGTTCAATGCGCGGAGACGAGGATATATATTGACAAAGAGTCCAAGTGAAGAAGAAAGTAAAAGCAGGCCGCTTTTATAGAGAAAAAGAATTCATAACCCAACACAATACAACAAATCGGAATGACATATTATCTTGCACTTCACGTCTCTCTCTCCTCTTCATCCTCAAATTATCAATTTCAAGGTTTCTTTCTACCTTTGCCTATATATATGTATGCGTATAAATGTAGTTTTTGTTTTATTATATCTAGGAATCTATGAATGTATTTTATCCCATGTATATTACGGTATAACAAGGTAAAATACTTCTCCTTGGATGGTTCTTGTTTGTCTTTCTCGTATGGGTTATTAAAATTGAAATTTAATTTCTCGCAAAAAAAATTGAAATTTAACTGCCTTACCTTGTTTATTGTTTCCTGCCGTTTCTCTTTTCTTTGTGTAGTATGGAAATGCAATGATTCTAGTTGATTTTAGGACATGGACACATGGTTTTGAGAAGGTTTTTGCTTATGTTTATTACGGAGTAATGTTTTTGTTAATACATTTTACATGTTTTGTGTCAGGCTGTTTTTCTGCACGAGGATCACAAATGAAGGAAAAGTGAAAGAGAAAGAAAAGTCTATTTGGATTTGGTTTGATGGTTGTGAAAAATGTAGGCATTTGGTGTTAGGGAGAGAAGAAGTTTTTTTGTTTGTTATTAGACTATATGGTATTTAAGTCAAATAGAAGAAGAGGGGTAATTTTGAAAGAAGAAGAGGATATTTCTCTTTGAGCATTGGGTGATTTTACAATGTCATTATCGTGGGCTGATTCTATTTCTGTGGCCAAAAGAGCCACCGCGGCTCCATCTAAGGCCGCCTATGTGCCACCTCATCTTAGAAACCGAACTCCATCACTGACCCCACTTATCCCTTCTCCAGCTTGTTATGCAGACACTGTTTCATCATCAAGAAATGAAAGGCTTGGTTATGGTGGTCAACCTGCTCGTGGGAATCGCTGGAATGGTTCCACAAATGACTTCCGGGCTAGTTATGGTGGTGGAAGTAGTTGGAATCGTGGAGGGGAACGCGAAGTCAACCCTTTTGGAGATGAAGAAGAAAAACCTTTGGATGAGCATGAGAATTCAGGTATTAATTTTGATGCTTATGAGGACATTCCAGTCGAGACAAGTGGAGAAAATGTGCCACCACCAGTGAATACTTTCTCAGAGATCGATTTGGGGGAAGCATTGAACAATAACATTCGAAGGTGCAAGTACGTCAAGCCCACACCCGTGCAGCGATATGCTATACCAATTTCACTTGCAGGACGGGATTTAATGGCATGTGCTCAAACTGGTTCTGGGAAAACAGCTGCTTTCTGCTTCCCCGTCATTAGTGGAATTATGAAGGGTCAATTTCCAAGACCACCTTATCCACGCCTAGCATTTCCTCTTGCTCTTATTCTTTCTCCAACTAGGGAGCTTGCCTGCCAAGTGCGTTTTTAATGTATAGCTATGTGTGATATCTTGTGAGTTGGTCTTTTGAACTAGGTGGTCTCATGAGTTGTTTTGACATTTTACTGTGCAGATTCATGAAGAAGCTAGAAAATTTGCATATCAAACTGGTGTCAAGGTGGTTGTCATCTATGGTGGTGCACCCATGAATCAACAGGTAATATTCTTTCTAAAAAGTGTCGTTTTACATGGCTTGCGATATCATCAGGCACACACAAATTAAACTAATTGGAAGCTTCTGCATTGGCCTTTTCTGTCTTCTGTAATCTGTAGATTTGTTTGAACCTCATTTGTTCTATTTACATATTAAGGCGTTGAAGCTTCTCTTCATTGGTCTCTTGAGGAGCAACTGTTTTGCTGCTGTATAAAATATAGAAGCAAAATTATTTTCCTAAATATTGCTGAAACATAGTTACTTTCTTTAAATATGACCACCTTGTTTTTATATCTAAAATAGCATTTAAGTCATATATTCTTTCATTCCTGCCAGAACTTGCTAGTTTACTATTCATGTTTATTACTCCCTCCGTCCCTTTTTTTTAGCCAATCACTATTTTCCAAGTCAATGATGCTTAACTTTGACCGCTTATATATTTATACACGATAATATTGATAATATGAAAATGATATGAAAATGTTCTTTGTTAAAAGTACTATCATAAAACTATAAATTTATTAAGTTCCACGGATATATATTAGTTAAAATAATGGATCAAAGTTTATCATCTTTGACTGGAAAAGTCAAAGTTGGCTAAATAAAAAGGGACGGAGATAGTACTTTTTAGTTTTTGCTTATAGATATCAATTTTTTATGAAATTCAGTTTTTATTTTGCGATTCAATAGAACATTTATTGTAGTTTCTAAATATCTAAATTTTAAATACTAAAAATAATTTCAATATTCTTTCAAAAAAATAATTTAAATATTGTATAGAGGGGTTAACTTGATCATCGTAAACCATAACTCGCAATGTCCATTAGGGTGTAGGAAGTACTATAGAAGATCATGAATTAAATAAAGAATACCATTAAATAGACTAATGGAGAACGTCATAAAATTAGAAAGATAACTTTGGTTATCATATTTTGGGAAACACTATAAGTTTTAGTCATCATCATCATTACCCCAGTGCCGCAAAGGCTCCCACCTACGGTGGGGTAAGGGGGGTCAGATGTATGCAGTCTTACCCCTGTACTAAAGCACAGAGAGACTGTTTCCGGATGACTCATAGTGAAAATCTCGTCGAAATTTCATGGACTGACTATTGCTTCATGAAAAAGAAGCGCAAACAGTACATTTAGTGAGTTATTTTGCTTTATTCCATCAAAACTTATTCCATCATAAGTTTTAGTCATCTGTAAATAAAATTTTATTTAACCACACACAATCATGAATACCTCTGTTTTCAAGAGGTATTGGCCTAGTCCCCCTCTTATTGTACTTCCCATGATTTCAATAAAATCTGGTAAATGCTGCCCGACATTTACCCCACTGATTTTGGTGGTTGGCTTTCCGGGCTAAAAAAAAAAATGAACACTTTTTTTGCTATAAATCAGAAAGATTGGAAAATTCAAATGGAATGAGTATGTCCTTTATTTGAAATTGACATTCTTTTTCAATTGAGCATGCATGACCATTAGTTGAGAATGATTTTCAACTAATATATGCATTTTGCAAGTAAAAAATATAATTTGTTTATTGAAAAAAGAAACTTTTAATATGTCTTGGAAATATTCGTTTCTCAAATGTAGAAAATTGGGATACCAGACGGCCCAGACTCCACATTTGGGTAGCGGTAGGGCTATTCCAGACTTTTCTCTTGTGAGCTGCCCCAGAATCTCACCTATATTGCTTATATTTGGCTAGTGAAGAGAAGCTAAGAAGCGAGAAAAAGAGTGGAAACATAGTAAAGAGAGAAATACATTAGAAGAGAGTAGATTATTAGTGTTGTTGTGTCTAAAAGATAGAAAATAAAGAGGAGAGAAATACTCCATGATTATTAGTAGAGAAATACATTAGAAGCGAGTAGATTATTAGTAGCTCTTTTTAGCTTGTAAATATTTCACTAGTAGTATGCAAGGTCTTGCAAAATCCTCCATATGTGCCCATTGTTGTAATGATTTGTTAATCAATCTTCTCAATTTTGCATGATAGCTTCGTGAACTCGAGAGGGGTGTGCATATTCTTGTTGCCACCCCTGGTCGGCTAGTTGATTTGTTGGAGAGGGCAAGAGTCTCTTTGGAAATGATTAGATATTTGGCTTTGGATGAGGCAGATAGAATGTTGGACATGGGTTTTGAACCTCAGATAAGGAAAATTGTTCAACAGACCAGCATGCCTCCACCAGGTCTACGACAGACAATGTTGTTTAGTGCTACCTTCCCGAAAGAGATCCAGGTTTAATTTCTGTAAGAAAAATAATTTATGCTCATTGGTTCTTTGTTGTTTCCTTATAGGTCGACCTTGATGATCAAAATAAAAAGTTGGATAATTTTTAAATGGACATTGGCACAGACTGACCTAATGGATCAACAACGACAATAATACCCCCCTGCAGCAAAGGCTCCCACCCATTTTGGGGTAGGGGGTTGGATGTACGCAGCCTTACCCCCTGTACTAAAGCAGATAGAGTCTGTTTTCGAATGTCCCCATATTTTCTATTCTGACCTAATGGGTCAAGAATAGAATATTTGGGACACTATTAATTATGTTTTTCCTATTATTAATGATCTACTCATGTGATATAGATAAACAACTCTCTTTGGAGATGATCTTAATGACTTGCACTTCTCGGTTTTCCTTTGTGATATCAAGTTATATCATGTAAATTAATGGCATCTTTGCAAATTTATCTGAATGCATGTAGAGATTGGCAGCAGACTTTCTATCAGATTATATCTTTCTGGCTGTGGGAAGGGTTGGCTCAAGTACAGATTTGATCGTCCAAAGAGTTGAATATGTTCAAGAGTGTGACAAGAGAAGCCACCTGATGGATCTCATTCATGCACAAACGGAAACCAATGCGAATGGAAAGGTAATGATGCATTTGTTAGTATTTCAGTTTATTCATCTTGATATTTTTTGCAATATTGATGGTTATTTTGCGTGCTTGTAATTGTATAGCAAGCTCTTACCCTCGTTTTTGTGGAGACAAAGAAAGGAGCTGATTCCCTTGAACATTGGCTTTACATGAATGGCTTTCCTGCCACTTCTATTCATGGTGATAGGACACAACAGGTAATAATTTATTATGCATAACTAGCAAACGTGTTACTGTTTTATCAGCAACTATTTTCTTTCTCCGTTTCGTTACAAATAATGGTTCAATAAGCTTCTAAATGTTGAGTTTAACTTTTATCAGAGATAGATATATAGACGTACTTAGGTGCCTATTTTTGTTATGCTTGTGTTTTTTTTTTTTACCCCGGAAGGTCAACCACCAAAATCAGTGGGGTAAACGCCGGGGGGCGTTTACCGAATTTTTATTAAAAGCAAGATTATACAAAACCGGGGGGACCAGACCTTACCCGATGAAAAAACCAGAAGAAAGTTACTCTCTAATATAAGGAATTCCAAAAAAATCCATCCAATAAGAACGTCTAGCAAATAAAGGCAATTGATCAATACAAGAATAATTAATTAAACTGGAAACCTGCTCTTGGGCCAGATAGTGGGCAACCCAATTCCCTTCTCGCCTGACCTGTCCAAATAAAACTCCTTGCCTCTTTCGCATCTCTGCGGTTTCCTGAAAAAGATCCAGCCATCTTCTACCTTCTTCCCTTTCAATAAACTGAACCGCCAACCTCGAATCAGCTTGTGTAGTTTATACAATAAAATATATCCTTTCCAATGGATATTTATATTGATTGTAGCTCATACTTAGGAATGGATATATATCCTAAAATCTAAATTGACTCTAGCATAGCCTTAAGGCGTTTAATTTTTGTTTTTTGTACTAATGAGTCAATCTCCTACCTTCATGTCTATGAGGATTTAGTAATCCTATCAAATGGACATGTATTCTGTGTAAATAAACAATATGCTATCTTAGAAGTTAAAATCACTACACAAAATAAGTAGAGTAGTATCACATCAAGAAAAGGCACACCTTATAATTCATACTTTTTCGTGTTCAGGAAAGAGAGTATGCGCTCAGATCATTCAAAAGTGGCAAGACACCTATTCTGGTTGCAACAGATGTTGCAGCACGTGGGCTGGACATTCCCGACGTTGCACATGTCATCAACTTTGATCTTCCAAATGACATTGATGACTACGTTCACCGCATAGGAAGAACAGGACGAGCAGGAAAAACAGGGTTGGCCACAGCGTTCTTCAACGAAAACAACTCTTCAATGGCAAGAGCATTGGCCGAGTTGATGCAAGAGTCAAATCAAGAAGTACCGGCCTGGCTGTCCCGCTTTGCTGCTCGTTCCTCCTACAGTGGCAAGAATCGCCGTGGGGGAAGTCGCTTCGGCGGCCGTGACTACAGAAGAGAGCCCTCTTTCATCCAAGGCAATACTGACTACTACTCCGGGGCCAATAACTATGTTGCTTATGGTGCTTCTAGTGCCTACAGCACATCGACGAATGGTCTTGGGATGGCTAGTGCATGGGACTAATCGGTGACCCCCCCACAATTACTACATCACTCTTGAATCGTATATTCGTAGTTTAGTAGCAAGTTAGTCTCGCTCACGTTAGATTGACAATGATCACCCTCATTTAGATTCTTTTCTAGCAATTGAAGTCCCATTTTGCCCGAAGTATTGGGTTGTATATAATGTTTATGTATATATGTACTAAGCCTATGGTAGAATGTATAGAAAAGTATAAATAATATCGGTAGTTTCAATTAATATTGTGAAAATAAAAGATAAAGAGTTTTCAAAAAGATAGTAAATCAAATATAGAATTACTCACTTGGTTAGCATGTCTTAATCCTAAAGATAAGTTTTCCCTATGAATCAAAGCTATGAGACCTTGCAGAGTTAATATTCATGCAATTTTTCTTTTGTTGATTGAATGGAGTTGAAAGAACAACTCCACGTGTGAATATATGAAATGAGAACACAAGAATTATTTTCTGCCATGCAAACTACTAGTGAAGTTTGTAGAAAGATGGTTAAGCCTAACGACTAAGCCTAAAGCTCACAATTGTTTCACTTGGTATATAGTCTCATTGAGTTAGTTTTAGTTTTACCGGTTGCAACAACCACCATTGAAAGGCTTTATCCACAATAAATATTATTAAAACAGATCTTCACAGGAAGATGTGAAGTGACTATTTTACGAATATATTAGTGTGCTACCTCGAGAGATATTTTTAGAAGTATTGCTAATATAATGATACTATATAATATATATTATGCAACAAGTTTTAAATATGAAAGCTCGCGGGCTTGATTTATCGAGATTGCAATAATGAACCATTTAATACTTCAAATGTTTTTAATTGGACTATTTTTAGTTGCAGACCAGATCAGATTAGACCAGACCAAACATGACCATAATAGACTTGGATAATTATAAAATATACAGAGACCGTACATTTAACAGACCATTTCAGACCAGACCAGAAAATTTCAATCCAAGTAAAAACATTAGGATATAGCATATGATTACACCAACACATTTTAAATACTAAAAAGATAAGGGCACATTAGTTTCTGCCCAATGAACAAGTCTATATTAGCATATGATTACACCAACACTTTTTAAATACCAAAAGTATCCTTACTCTCATTCACTATTACTCCGTATAAGATTTTTAGATTTTAGATAAGTCAGTTTTTCTCAACAAAAAAATACTATACTTTTGAGCTTAAACTGTTAAACTTTTGGTCTTCAGTTTTCAAAAATTACAATGACCGAGTCCAACCGCACAAAATGTGCAATTTGAAGGAGTGATCCATTGCAATTTGGTTCTAATGTCACACGACCTAAGAATTCAGGTTGAAAAAGGAACAATATTTCACCTCTTTTTGGGTTTCACTTTTTTTCATTCAGGCAAGTCAACAAACAGCAGGCAAGTGCAAAACGTCGTCGTTAACAACACTCTGATAGCTCCGCTCCGTTGCCTGCATTTTCTCTGACCAAAACGGAGCGGTTAAGGACCCGAACGGAGGATGAGTAGTACGGATCCATTACCGTCAGCTCATGGAAATCTTGACCAGCAGATTGGTCAGCTCATGCAGTGCACGCCCTTATCCGAGCAAGAGGTATTCCCTTTTTTTGATGATTTTTTTCTTCCTGACTTAATGTGACATTTTATGTTATCTATAATGCGTTTGCTTCCATGTTTTAAATTGATGCCTGAGTTCGAGAGCATCTTCCTAGAATTTGCGGGTGCAATCTCTTTCTTTATTTCACTTTATTTTTCATTTGCATTCGTTTAACTGGGAATTATTGAATTATTACAAGCATTTGGGCATTCTGGGGTTGGGAATATCAGAGTGCTCTTAGAAAATCTTAAAGATATAAGGTGCTTAGTTTGGAGGTGAAACAGAGCATATTTTGTTCTTGTCCTTTACTTTCCTGAAATGCAAATGGAATGTGTGTGAAGAATTGAAAAAAAAAGTGAACACTGACGAGTCTTTCTTGTCTTTTTTATGGGTGAAGCTGATTTGAAGAAACAGTTAGATTATATTTTTGTGTTTTGGTATAGTACAACTATTGGACATGTATATTAACCAACCATTGCACAGAGAAAGGAGTGGGCTGGGAACTACAAACTAACAGTGCAAGTGTGGTTTGATTTATGTATTGGAGTTGCCTTCACTCTCCTTTTTTCTTTTCTCTCTCTCTTGAATTTGTAAATTAACTTAAGACATTCAAAATTTCATAACATGAGTAATGTGATGTCTTTAATCCAACCTTATTGTTTTCAATGGTGCATCATTTCAGTGATAGCATATACATAGTTTATTTTCTGGCTAGACCTAGTATACTCTATTGGTTTACTATCTTTAAATGTCTAAGACATATGCCTAAATTACAAAAAAATATAATGCAACTTGGGGAGGGGGTGTATCTTGTATGTATAAATTTCTGTTTTATGTTGTATTTACAATTTACAAGTAATTTTTTCAACCCGAGGTGGACGTATCTCTAGGTCTTAATGTCGATCTGCCACTAAACTTAAGTATGCTTTTGATGGAGCTGTGGAGGTTTTGTTGAGGTTGTCAGGTAGAATTATGGACTTGAAGCCATTGAAATATAGACATATTAAAATATAGAAGTCCCAGTTCTAGAAATGCTTTCAAACTTTCCTTCTGTTTAAGATTCTTATGGGTTAGACCTATTATTTCTACATACAAACATTGTAACAGTCTATGAATTATAAAGATGTGAGTTGAAATTTAAAAGTCACATCAATTTGTAGTTTTATTGTTCTGCACTTCTGCATAATATCAAAGACGGAGAGACCTATTCCTAAAATCTTTTACATAAACCTAATTTTTGCTCTCATTATGAAATATAAACAAACATGCGACAGCCTGCACCGCTTTGTTAAGAATCTTTACGTTTTGAATAAACAAACCACAACAAGCGCAGTTTCACTATGGGTCATCCGGAAACAGTCTCTTTGTACTTTAGTACAAGGGTAAGACTGCGTACATCCGACCCCCCCTTACGGTACCGAAGGTGGGAGCCTTTGCGGCACTGGGGTAATGATGATGATGATGATGATGAACAAGCGCAGTTTCACATCAGTATGTTAAATATAAAGCCCACAACTGTGCAACGCTGCAGCTGGTGTAGTTTCTTTCTTTATGGTTGTTCTTGTCTCCTGGTGATCCTCATGTGAAGCTTTCATCAAATTTCAGTAACTTGTTTTCCCAGTTTTGCTTTGTGACAAATGACAGACGTGAAACTCGGGCCTGTTACTAGCCTACTACTACTATAGATAAGGAAAATAATAAGGGTTTTATCGATTCATCAAAGAAGAAGTCGAAGGAGAAGAAAGTGTGAAGAAAGCAAAGATGTAGGAGAAGAAAGCGAGGGAGAAGAATAATTATGTTAAATGGTCAAGTATGTTCAATCTATTATACTGGGATTACTGGGCTCCATCTCATGCTCCCTTTGAGTACACTAATTAGTTTATATGGAGTGAAAAGTGTACTCAATTGCTCAATCTACGTCAAGTTAAGTCAATGTAAAAATAAAGTGAATTGAAGTTCGAGTTAAAGTTAAAATGAAGAGCAGTTCCAGAAGAGTTCAAGTTCAGTCTAATTTCCTACTATAAGTTCCAGTTTTTGGTGTTCACTACTTCACTATTAAGTTTCATGCTCCTAGCATGTTCTAGTTTAAAGTATATTTTCATATGCTCCATCTTAAGGGGTCTCCTGAATTTAGAATAATATCAAATAGCAAAGGATAGAAGTGTAGAAGTGTAAAGAGTCCTATTCAAGTGTTACGATTTCCTATTATCATTAGGTTTAGGGCTTATGTTCGTTCCCTTTTCATACTGGGATTACTGGGCCTAGGCATTGAAACTAATTATTTCTCCATATAAGCATTTTAGTAGCGTTTAGGAGTTATGCATTCGTAAATCAACATTCATATCAATAAAAGTAGTAGTTTTACTATCATTTTGCATTACCGTTTTTTACATGTCATGCCAGAAAGAGAATGTTTAAAATTCTATACTTGGTTTCCAATTTGCTACATTCATTTGAAGTACATTTTTGTAATAAATATCTTACTATCATTGTGTTTTTTTCTGAAGGTGAGAGCACTATGTGATAAAGCAAAAGAAATTCTGATGGATGAAAGCAATGTACAGGTATGCCAGTCTGAAGCTCTATATCAATTCTATTACAGAATATTTGGTAATGTATCATCTACTGTACTTTTTTCGTGAGTGTAACCATTTTTTTACTATGTTAAGTTTATACCACTGAATATATTGAATTATGAGTTGTCTTTACTCTTTACTCAAGGTGTTCTCAATATTATTTTTATATAGTTGCAAGTCATTAGCATATTAGCTACAAACAACTATGAATGTTATTCCACTTTATTTTTAAAAAGGTATTGAAACTTACGTGTTACACCTGGGAGAGGCTCTACAAATTCACATCGAGGCTTCTGCTTCATCCTGTCACAAAGAAGCTTATGCTTCACCTTTCATGAGGTGCTTAAGCTTGAGGCATACAAGTATACAACTCATGAGGTGCATAAGGCTTACACGGTTACACCACTAATATCATTTAATGACTAACCATTTTGCATGCAAAAGTTGGTTATAATTAAAGTAGTTTATCACTTTATCTTAATGAGACATATTTTTTCATCAAAAGATTTGGGATGATTTCTTTTAAAAAAAGCTTAACCCAACTTTAAACCTGGAACATTAAACGTTTGTTCTCTACACAAATACCTCCTTTTGTTCTCTTCTTGTTTGATTTCATATGTACGTTTCTACTTGACTGCTGTCTTTTCTACTCGATTGTAGATTATTTAAAGCAATCACAACAATTTTCTTCTTCTCTACTCTATTTCTTGTTCTTCTCTGCTTCTGTGCATAAGTTGATATAATATTTGATTACATTTATAAATGTGGAATGGTGTCATGGAATTGTAGTATTATTGATGACTTACTAAATACTAAATCATATTTATTTAATATTTTTATATTTGTGATATCTACATGCTTAAATGGATTATGATATTTTAAGTAGCTTGTATTTTGCCTATGATGTATGGATGCTAACACTTCAATCAGACTCGAGGTCTACGTCTCACGATGCTAAAGCAAAACACGCCCAAAGCATGTTTTAGCTCTTTTAACCTTAATATTCCCATTAAATTTCTTGCAGTTCTCATATAGTTCATTCGGAGTTTCTTTTTGCTAAGACATTTGTAGTCTTTGATCATGAGAGCATGGGGTGACTCCGTCTGACAGATTCTGCTTGTATGAACTGCATGAGACGAACTTAGTCTCTTACAGAAATGTTTGTAAGTCATAGTGTTATAAATTATAGATCTTCAATGTCTTCCTTGCTGCAGCCGGTGAAAAGCCCTGTGACCATATGTGGTGATATTCATGGGCAGTTCCATGATCTTGCTGAGCTTTTCCGAATTGGTGGGAAGGTGCTTGCTATCCTCTTTCACTTGTTGTCAATGCATTTCGCTTCTGTTAGAGAACCACACACTTGACATCTAGTACTATTTGGTGCTCTTTTAAATGAAAACACTAATGTGCCATGTAAAAATTCCCAGAATTTGAATTCACTAATTCTCAAATGTAGACAACAATATATTTTATGACTTGATCAAATTGATGGTTGGGTCATGGTTTATTGTTCTTCTATTTGGATTTAAGCTTTTTTTAATTGTTTAAATAACTATCAACATACACAATGCATGGCCTTGCACTGACATATATGACTAAACCTGTTTTGATAATTGTTTCTTACACCATTAGCAGTCTTTATGATAACAATAAATTTGGGCTATTCAAGTGGTTTAACATTGTTGTTTCAGGCATTGCCATTTAGTCTAGGTGAAAAGGCATGGAATAAGTGCACCACGCATCTTTTTTTTTCTTTTGATCTCTAACAAGTCATGTATTGTAATTGAGTTTTTACATTCTCACTGATGGTTTTGCAATTTAGTGGCTTACTTGTGTATCGTAAGTGTTGGTTTGATGCATCATGTAGACTGCAATATTGACTTCATTTGTCTACTTCTGATCATGCTTTTGGTTTTTGTTTATTTTTTTGGGCAGTGTCCAGATACCAATTATTTATTCATGGGAGATTATGTGGACCGTGGATACTATTCTGTTGAAACTGTAACAGTAGGGCCATGTTTGCTTCCATTCTCTGCTTTGTTCTTATTTTTCAAAACTGTAACATGTTCAATTGCTATTGAAGAAAATAATTTTCCAATTCTGGAAAAGGAAAACATGTACATTAGCACAAAATTACCACTTCATGCCACTTCACCTTCAGAAAAAGATGCTCTTTTCAAGCTTATTCCCTGGAGGACTTCATGAAGTTCTGGAGGCATCATCCATAAACGGGTAAACCTAAAAAGAGTTTCTTCCATGGAATGTGACTGGGTTGAGAAAAAGTGGAAGCAGTGTTTCTGGAGGAATCAACTCGCAGGCCCATTTTATTGTTCTTCAAAATTGGAGAAACTGGAACACATTCTAATTTCAAAAATTGGAAATTAGGAGAAGTTCCTTTTTTAATATCCAGTTCTTCAAATATCTAAAAATGGAGATATTTTCTTGTTAGTTTATGTCTCATAGTATATTTTCTCATAGTGTATATCAGTATGTAATGTGCAAAGCGTTTTCTGTGAATTTGTGGTGTATTAATATTTGGCTTTTGGTGATTTACAGCTTTTGGTAGCCCTCAAAGTGCGCTATCCTGAAAGAATTACAATCTTGAGGGGAAATCATGAAAGCCGTCAGGTATGCCTCTCCCAGTCTATCGTTCAATGTATACAAGTTATTCTTCTTTCTCTAATGTCATTGTAATGGTAGAATTTTCTAATTCTATTTATGGTTTGAATTGTTATTTAACAGGATTCTAATGACCTGGAGTAGCTTATTTATACTGAAATACTGTTAGTTTTTCCCACACATAAATGGTTAGAACCTAAGTAGCTTGTAAATGCAAAACGAGAATCAAGAAACGTGAAATGGGAAATGCAAAACGTGAGAAACAATATTTTAGAAAATCTAGGATACAAAATGTGGAAGAACGTGTGGATATAAAAAATATATGTGTGTGTGTGTGTGTATATATATATATAAACTTGTTCTTATATTTTAATATATGTATATCAGTATATATATATTCTATATATATATATATATATCAAATACAAACCATGCTTAAAATACTAACCTACAAACTCAATAATATGCAACACTTTGAACTTCAATATGCAGTACAAGTAATGTAAAAATGCACACTGTGAATTTCAATATGCATTACAAATAATATGCAACACTTTTAACTTTAATATGCAGTACAAATAATATGCAACACTTTGAACTTCAATATGCAGTACAAATAATGTAAAGATGCACAGTTTGTGATAGTTTGTAGGTTAGCATGGGAAGACTAGTTTGTATGTGATCTCACCCCTATATATATATATATATATATATATATATATATATATATATATATATATATATATATATATATAGAATAGAGATTTAAAGTAGTAATGTTTGTGTAATTTTTGATTTTTTTCTTCTTATTTTTTTCCTTCGATTTCATGTGCGATTCATGTTAGCCGACCTCAAACTCTTTTGGGCTTAACGCTTGGTTGTTGTTGTATCAGTATATAACGAAATGTAAAAGTCAATTGTTTTCTAACAATGCATTGCACTATGAAATGTTGCATAGACTACATTGCTACAAAGAGATCTCATAAAAGCCATCAATAAATCCACACAAAAGTACAGAACACTAATTTCCATTAAGAACTCCCACCAAATTACCAAAAAAAAGAAGTAAGACCCAGCATGTCTGAATTTTTTTTTAATCAGGGAAATGAGTTCACTATTTTCTTTAAATTATGGAAACAACATGGGAGCAAGATTATGATATTTTGAGTTTCTAATACATATCCAAGTATGTGAAATGGAAAAAAATGAGCACTCAGAGTTTCCGTGGTTTAGGTTAAAACTGATGTTGTCTTTCTTGCAGATTACTCAAGTCTATGGATTTTATGATGAGTGCTTAAGGAAGTGAGTATCCCATTGTTGGCAAACTCAAAAAATATTCACTGTAACCTTATTCTTTGAAGTTATAGCAATGTCTTTATGGAGGCTTTTGTTATGCCTTCAACGAATTGTTGTTGTAATTTGTTTGTCTTTTTCAAATCATTGCTTTAAATATTATACTTGTTTGTCTTGTTCAATAAGGTTTATTGATTACAACAACAACAACATCCAAGCCCTAATCCCAAAAGATCTTGTTCAATAAGGTTTATTGATTATGGAGTATATTTTAACTAAAAAGAGGGCCTGTTGCAGCTTAAATCGTTAATTGAGGTGATAAAATGCTGGCCAGTGGGCAGACATTTACTAATCAATGAGGCTTTATATGAATAATATATAGTTGTATACAATAGAAAAGTTAGGGCTCCAAATATAGTGCACACTTTCCAATGAAGTGGATACTTAAACATACATGTCATGCTATAATTTAGTATTCATTAGACATTTGTACATTTGTATTATTATATTAAGTTTTACATTAAAGGTTGAATATATAATTTAGTATTCATTGTACATTTGTACATTTGTATTATTATATTAAGTTTATACAATATAGAAGAGCTTGGTTTATAAACGTAGTGCTCAATTTCCAATGAAGTAGGTACAGAAACATACTACCTCCGTCCCATTTTGTGTGTCTTGTTTTCGCCCCCCCCCCACAATTAGTAATAAAGTGTTTGAAAAAGTAAAAGTTGTGGTTGGTATTTGAGTGACACTTATTTTGGGAGAACCCAGAAAGGAAAGTAAGACAAGTAGAATGGGACGGAGGGAGTACGTGATAGTTTCGTATGCCGTTTGTAATTTTTTACAATACTACGATAGTAATATTTTATATTAATCTCTCTTATCTCTTACCTTTCTTGTTTTGTTGTTGACTGACTGCCATTACATTTCACAGATATGGTAACGCAAATGTGTGGAAGACGTTCACAGATTTGTTTGACTATTTCCCACTCACAGCTTTGGTTAGTTTGATATTTTCTAAAATTTTCCTGGGTCGAATGCTTTTGACCTGTATATTTTTATATACTATTATCTGCGTCCTAGTTAAAGGACTCCATTGCAAAATGACATGGTTATTTAGACAATAATTAAATAAGGTAATTCAAGTATATTTTGAGAAATAGTTTCGATGGGTGTCTAATATAATGGGATCATTGATGATATTTGTGATGTTATAATTGTGTTAGTTTTTAATATTTGATGATTAAATTGTCATTTAAGAGTGTTAATTGTTTCCTAAAATAGAAATCGGAACCTTTAACTGGGATGTCCACAAAAGGAAAGTGAGAATCTTAGGTTGGGATGGAAGTAGTATTAAACTGGATGCCACATGTCTGCACTGTAACAATGCCTTGTTATTGAATGAAATGGAATGTTCTTGAGTATCCATATTTGTTTCTAATTGCAGATCATCTTTTATATTTGATCTAAGTTTATCTTTTCAAAAATCTTAAAGGTTTGAATTGACACACTAGTCACACATAGGTCACATGTATTTATAATGTTATTGGATTTTATTTCACTTTTCATTTCAATGTTTGAATTGAATCATTAATAAATCCTAAAACTGATTACTGCATCTATACAACTTTTTGAAAGCATTACTCTGAGAAGAGTTTGGGGTTGGCTATCATGGATCGACATATGATATCAGTTAAAAACAAAAAATAGAGAAAGTGGGAGACAAACAATACATTGCATCGGCATGTTGGCTTACTAGCTTTATAGTTTCGTGCTGAATAGTACTCTCTCCGTCACATTTTACATGTCTTACTTTCTTTTTTGGGTTGTCCCAAAATAAGTGTCACATTTCCTTTTTGGGTTGTCTCAAATCTCAACCATAGCTTTTACTTTTTCAACCACAACTTTTACTTTTTCAACCACATTATTAATAATTGTGTCAAACCAAAACAAGACACATAAAATGGGACAGAGGTAGTACTAGAACGAGTCTAGCTGTTTCCTGTTCACATTTCTCTAAAAAAATTGGGCCATCGTGCTCTTATTTATTTTGTCTAAGCTGAGTGCTGTGTTGTTTTTCCTTCTTTCCGTCTTCTGTAAATTGCTTTTGTAGGTTGAGTCAGAAATATTTTGTCTTCATGGTGGCTTGTCTCCTTCTATTGAAACCCTTGATAGCATCCGTAATTTTGATCGTGTTCAAGAAGTTCCACATGAAGGGGCAATGTGCGATCTTTTATGGTCTGATCCTGATGATCGATGTGGTTGGGGAATTTCTCCAAGGGGGGCTGGATATACATTTGGCCAAGTGATTTTTACTAGCGCTCACTTTTCCTCTTTTTGTTTTGTTCTCATTTTTCCTATTTAGTGGTATATGATGTTTAATTTGCTAGTCAAATTAAAATCACTAGCTTGCTATTTGACAGGATATATCAGGGCAATTTAACCATACTAACAACTTGAAGCTTATTGCACGAGCACACCAGCTGGTTATGGAGGGATTCAATTGGGCTCATGTAAATATTTTTCCCTATCCTTTGCTTATTACTGTTGTTTAAATTAAGGGAAAACAACACTGGTAATGTTTGTACATGCTTTATATGGTTGGTGCAGGACCAAAAGGTTGTAACCATATTCAGTGCACCTAATTATTGTTACCGGTGTGGTAATATGGCATCCATTCTTGAAGTTGATGATTGCAAAGGGCATACATTCATTCAGGTCTGGTTTGCCTTAGTTTTACCTTTTTGTGTTGTTCTCAGTTTCTTCATGCTCACTTCAGCTACCGGCTAGCTTTGTTTATGAGATTTTGGTGTAAGATGATTTTTTTGCTCTGGAACTGTACCTTTTTATTTTTGCAGTTTGAACCAGCTCCAAGGAGAGGGGAGCCAGATGTAACCCGAAGAACGCCAGATTATTTCCTGTAAAACTTTTGCTACCTCCCAAAGAGTGGAGTTTTGCTTTGAAATCTTCTCTTCAGTAGAGTAGTGGTAGCTCTATGTATTGGCTCTGAAACCTAAAGTTAGTAAATATTGATGTGGTTGTATTAAAAAGCACCCATATGGCTGCAGAACACTTTTTGATTCATTTTCATGACATTCAAAGAGTTGATGAAGGTGGCTGATAGCTGCTGCTTGCAATCTATTCGCATAGAAGATCTTTTAACTTTTTTCTCAACCGCCCAGTTTTTCATTTTCAATGTCAAGTTGACATATTTTGCTACATTTTGTAGAGAGTAGATGTGCTATTATTCATGTTCAACAGTAAAATATGAACCAATTAATTAAAATATAAAGATATCGGACTCTTCATCCTATTAACTTATTAAGATTGATTGACATTATCAGATGAACTTTGAATTTAAACATGGTATCAGAGCTAAATGGTTGGGGTGTGCTTGCACAATGTTGGCTTGAAGAATGTTATAGGCTTTGATTGGTTGTGCTTAAAAGGGCACCCAGGTTTATTGAGAGGAAGAGTTGGGTTCTGAATAGGTTAGGTCTAGGTTTAACTGAGGAGAGAGAACATGGGGCAGTACATCATAAGATTCATAACTCTCTAATCTGTCCCATTTCAAATAAGTTTTTTTTTTAAAATTAAGGTAACGTTTCAAATATGTGACACCATCCCAAATATATGTAGCACACATCACGTTTTTGTGACATCATGCTTTTTTTTTAGCATCTTTTGGTATAGTTTGAGATAATTTTCGATACCATTTGATTCTTAAATAATGTACATATTAAAACAACGTATAAACTATAAATCAATACTAAGACGTTCAATCCTAAAAGTTCTATTTTTCTCGTGAAACATTAATGGGGGTGGACTCGGGCCGGGCGGCCCGGCCCGGCCCGGGGCCCGGTGGGTCCACCAGTTCGGTTCGGCCCGGCCCGGCTGCTGGGCGGTCCGGGCTTGGGCCCAGTTTTTGGTGAACCGGCCCGGCCGGTTCGGGCCCGGTTCGGGCCGGTTTTTAATTTTTTTTTTTGAATTTTTTTTTAAATTTTGGGTTGGATTAGGTATTTTGGGCCATTTGAGGTGGTTTGGGGTTGAGGGGGAGGGGTTGGGGGTTAAATAGAAGAGCCAAAAAAAAAAATTAGAACCGGTTAGGCCCGGCTAGGGATGGACCCGGGCCGGGCCGGTTCCGGTTCCGGGCCGGGCCCGGGCGGGCTTTTTTTCGGGTTACATGGGCCCGGAACCGGCCCGGGTTGATACCGGGTCCGGGCCTAACCGGGCCGGGCCGGGCCGGGCCCGGTTCAATGTTTTTTTTTTTTTTTTTTTTTTTTGACTTTCTTGTTATCTCCCTACCCCCCCCCCCTCACCCCCACGCCCCAAACCTCCCTAAAACACCCAGCCCTACCCTAGGAAAAGAAAAAAAATTGAAAAAACCAAAAAAAAAAAAAAAAATGAACCGGGCCCGGCCCGAACCGCCCGGGCCGGTTCAACAAAAACAGGGCCCGGAACCGGCCCGCCCGACCCGCCAAAACGGGCTAAAAGCCCGGAACCGGCCAACCGGGCCCGGTCCGGTTCGGGCCCGCACAGTAGCGGGCCGGTCCGGTTCCGGGCCGGTTCGGCCCGGCCCAGTCCATCCCTAGGCCCGGCCCGGCCCGGCCCGGCCCAGTTTGGCCCGGAACCGCCCACCGGCGGTTCGGGCTCGGGCCCAACTTTCCTGGCCCGAGGCCCGGCCGGGCCCAGGCCCGAACCGGTCCGAGTCCACCCCTGATTAATGGTGCGAAAGTTAGAATGTTCGTCATAGTTAATCCTTAACGAGCATAAGATTATAATTGCCAATAACAAATTGGGACAAATTTGAACCAAGAATATTTATCATAATGAAGTGAGTAATAAACTAATAATAGTTCATAAGATTTGATAATTTAGTATATTTGGGACGGTTCGGAACAGTTCAGTTCGATCTAGTTCCGGAATAGTTCGCATTAAAGAAACAATATCGTACCACATATTATATAAGAAAATTGGTCCAATGCGGTATGGTAATATAGTCTTTCCATTCTGGTACGGCTCAAAGTGGCTCTTCAATACAAAATGAGAAATTCTAGATCCCTACTCGATCCCAAGGCAATGAGGCATTGGCTTAGGAAGTCTAGGAAAGCGGCCAAGAGCTGGCTTAAAACTAAATTTGTACCCGGCCTTAGTTTCTTCTATAATTTTGAAAAATGAATAAATCTTTATCGTGGGTATCCATTAACCCATTTGCTTTAAATTTTCACATTATGGTTCTTCCAATGGTCAGCACTCAGCAGCACGTACTACCTTCTTAAAAGAGAGATTAAGTTCCAACAATTATCATAGCTACATTATTTAAGGTTTTTGGTAACTTTGTTCGTAGTTTTAGCATTTTGTAAATTGTAACACATAAAATATTTCATTGAAATCAAAAACTTGTATTTTTGATAGACCGAGTTACTACATTATTGTCAATTACTTATTATTCAATAGTTAGTATGTATATGAGCTAAATCACGTTTCTATATATTTTTACGTGTTTGTGCTTCATAATTTACTTTATAAGTATAAAGTTGTGAAAAAAAATTATACCCATCGAATACTCAAGTGCATAGTTATAATATACCTTGAAAGTATTGTGTATATAGTTTTTTAAATATAAAATACCAGATCTAAATATCTAATATAATTAAATAAGTAATACATTGCAATATTACACATACTATTGACTATAAAAATTAAAGAAACTATCAATTCAAACTACTTTACTCATAAGACAAACCCTTTTTTGAGTATAGATATCGTATGTAGCACATATGCATTAAGAATATTCAATGGCTCAACGGTTTGGATGTGGATATAGAGTTTGTACGCTCTTTTGGGGTACGTTTGAGGTCAGAAGTTCAAATCTATTAAGGTGGTTTTTTTTTTTTTTCCTTTTTTAAGAAAAGAAAAACTTTTTATTACAGTTGTATAACCACACCAAAAGCTGTGGTACAACTTTTAGGACTATTTAGAAAATTTCCTCTAATAAATAGAATTTACTTAGTTCTTTTATTTATAGGGATAAAACAAAGAGAGTCAATTTATGAACTTAATCTTTGTGTTAGTACGTAGTACTATTTAGGAAATTTCCTCTTTAAGAAATGCCTTTTTACTGCCGGGTCAAAACTGATGCAAATATCCCAACATAACTGCAATAAATAAACTTTTGTCTAGTGGGGATAGTACAAATAAAATGTTAATGATTGGATCATGATCTGTATCAATATTGACTAGTTGTACACCGCGCGATGCGCGAGGGGAAAATGCCCAAAATTATTTTTATTCAATTAACATAATGGTGTTAGTGATTAGTACATTTAAGTTATTTGAAATCACACACAAGTTTTATGCATATTTCTTCGCCTCAAAGGATGATGAGAAAGAAATGTGAGGGATCTCTTTGCCCGTAAGCGGGTAAGGCTCATTCTGAAACATCCTATAAAACATAATATCAATATTGTGCATGGTATTATATTAAACAATCTAAAAATGAGTGGACTGAATGAATAGGTTTATAGTGTAGAACATGTGTGCCATTCTGATGTTTGAGACCAATAGTCCTCAATATGTAGTAATTAAGAGGCAAGTGCAATAATGAATGTGGATTATATATAGCGCCACATGTAAAATCAACAATACTTCTGACAGAATTGGTTAATATTCCTCTCTGATAAACATACGAAATAAAATATTACAATAGTCGGATAAATATTACTTGGGATCGAGTCATCGAGTTGACGGCGGTGGCAGTTGTAACCAACATCTCCCGTTCATAGTAATCCTATATGTGTACATAGACATATAACAATAAACGACGAGTTAGATCAAACTTGTATCTCCATATTGACATTTCCATTTGACACATATGTCTTTATAGTAAAGGACATTAATACATATTAACATATGATCTCGGCATTTTGAAATAGTGTTGTTTTTTTATTAAAGGAAATAGCTTATATTAAAATCAAACGAACCAAAGTAACAAGCATGTCCCAAAACCTACATCTCCCTCTCTCTAAACAAAACCAAAAGCACATCCGTCCCCTCACGTCATGATCAGATATAGAATAGTCCACCCCGGATAGAGCGAGACTAATCGCTGAAACGGTGAGAGAAAAGTAGCTATTAGCAGCTGAGTCAGCCTGATTGCCTCCCAACAAAAACCTATCTAATGAAATAAACCAAGCCAAAACCCTACCCGTTTAGTGTTCGGAATAATAATAACAACACGATTCATAATTAAACAACTCAAAAAGAGTAAAACGGAATTAAATAAAATAAACTTATGGAGCAACCGAATCTGTATTTCAGGCGTCATCCTCCATGGTGGCAGTTCAGGAGGGGGCAAATCATCAACCCTTCATCTTCTTCCTCCAACATGCGAATCTCGAATTCTCCATGCCACTTCAAGCAAAGCCTTTCTCTCAACCCCTTAATCTGGTCCGCTCCTAAAAGACCACCTTCCACCTTCCCTTTGATTGGTGGCATAGTAGTTCGCTGACCTACTCCTACCGTCCCGGTTGAATATGGATAGATTCTTCTCTTGGCTGCGCAGAAACTGATCAAGCGATTGGAATCACTGATCCCAAACTTCCGCAGACTAGGGTTTAAAACCCTCACTGCGCCGACCGCAATGATGCCCTGGTATTTGGTAGTGTCACACTTGATTAGCTATTCGCCTTCTGAAGATTCTTTCGAAATAATGTTGTTATTTCTCAAATATTAATAGAAAGAACACATGCTTTTATATTTATAATAAATAACATACAAATAACAACAAAAATAATAGCAAATAACAATAATAACCATATTAATATTGATAATAATAATAATAATAATAATAATAACAATAAAAATAACAATAATAATAATAATAATAATAATAATAATAATAATAATAATAATAATAATAATAATAATAATAATAATAATAATAATAATAATAATAATAATAATAATAATAATAATAATAATAATAATAATAATAATAATAATAATAATAATAATAATAATAATAATAATAATAATAATAAAAGTAATAGGTCATGCCTAGACTTAAGTGGGTGTTTGGAAAATGACGATTCAGCCCAAAAATGGCAGTTTGACCCTTTTAGCGTTTTCAATAAGTATATTGTTGTTTGGTAAGTTGTTGTTTGGCCCTAACGTTTT